AACGAAACTCATGCTGTAGCTTCACAGGAATTCACAGGACTCCACGGGAGGCATCCGCAGTGATACATGGGTACAAAGCAAAATACCTCCCACCAAGCCGAACTGCGCCGGCTCGTGATACGACGCTATCTTCTCACAGCGCACAAAAATACGACCCCAACGGTTCAGGAGAAGAAGCATATGAGGAGATGGCCGTATATAGAGCCAGAATGTCAGAATGAGCGGCAAAGGAGACGGGTAAGCCTAAGGCGTGGGTGCGACTATGCGATTTTGAGCTGTTTTAATGGATAACTAATGTTCTGCTTAACGCAGCATTTTGTGCTCCGGAAGTTGTGCCGCAATGGTTTTCGTAATGGATAGCGGGATATGCAGGTTCGAGTCTTACTGGAGGTCTTGCCCATAACTCAGCACTATTGCGAATACATTTTTGAGCAACTTTTCTTGGAAAACTAGAGGCTGGATACTTCTTTCAAGCTGTATTCTTTCGAGTGTAGTATTTACTCCTTGATTCAGGCCAAAATTTGAGAGTAGAGGTAGCGAACTCAGTGAGTTTGGCTGTACTGTTGTGATGGTCAGGAGTGGCCTCACCAAGGGACCATCCCCATAGAGAAATGCCCCGAAAGCAGTCAGAGCTGAATTCTCTATACCTATATCGTAAGTAATAAAGAACTTACGAGATCAGAGCCGCCAATTCCAATATTGACAACATCGGTGATCTTGTGTCCTGTGTAACCGGTCCAAGATCCACTGATAATTTGATTACAAAAATCTTCCATATGAGCCAGAACTCGGTTTACATCTGGCATTACCTGCAAGAAAGCTCATTGTATCAGGAAGATATAAGGTTCATAGAACTCTCAATAATATATCGAAGTTGGGTGGATTCGCTGCAAGTCAGCGTTCTTGTTGAAGAAGTTATCCGAACATCTGTTTTATTGGTGGGAAAGCAGTGTTGAAAGGAATGGCCTTAGAAACACAGTGTACGAAAAGAAACAAGAATAATGTGAGTCCTATAACTGCTTTCATAACTACCACATTCCTCGCAGACGTTGGCATCTTGAATCACCGGGGATGTATCGAAGACGACTACCTTAAGCCACCTTAGGGACTTGCCCCTTCAATCTATGTTGACTTCTTGCTAACACACATCCTGCGTATCCTGCATTGAAGACAAACTTTGCAAAGGACGACCCCCTTGAAAGTTCCTTCTCTTTTATGACCACCCCGCCCCATTCCCTATCCAATCTAATATTTAGATCTTGAAATACCCCAGCTTCCCACCACACTTAGTTTTTTTGATTCCCCAATTAATCCATATGAATATGGGGCGAGGAGGGTCACATATGAAGCAGGGCTGCGTTAAAAACCAAAAGGACTAATTCTCCTTATGGACAGGATCAACCATTGTTCATGCCCCTATTCTCCAAGTGCGAGAAGGCAATCGCAAAGTGCCGCACTGGTAGGCGTAGCGAGCGACGCTCGGAGGACAGACGAGTTGTCCTGCCTGACCATTTGAAGATGAGTGTTGGAGTGAAGGGACAATACTATACGTCCGTTACAAAATCTTGTACAGCTTGACTAGCTGCTCCAATCGACAAATTGATAGACATCGAGAATTAGTCGCGGATCGCTGCACGACATGCGGCACGCGGCGCACTAGATTGTTCTGGGGCCGTATGCTATACTTCCCCTCGAGGGACGATATCCCCTAGTAATTCTCCACTCCTGCCCTTATCTCTGCTGACGCCTCTCGTCTCTCTGGCTCTCGCCGCTCTGCATCCACTCTTCTGGCGCACGCTCTGAGCGAATATAGTACAGCGCAGAGAATAATCGATCTCTTCCCCTCTCCCCCAACACATGCCGTTGGGGGAGATTCCGGGTGACTGGGGGAACAGAGATGCAGAGAGGCGATGGGCATTGGTAGATATAATGGCAGACAGCGGAGGTTTCCTGGGGCATTTCCCCTCAAGGGGAAGTATAGCATACGGTCCCTGTCCATTTCCCCTCCATCTCTACGAGCGATTCCGGTTCGAGTAGTTTTCTCACCCACTGCATTAATACTTCACCCACGCCCGAATAATCAATAAATTACTCAGAAAAAAAACCAAGAGAAGGGAAAGACCTACATCTTTCCCATCGACAAGGATTGGTGTGTTACTCCTGTTGCGAAGTGCAATGTGAAGTACGGCACGATTTTCGGTGAAGTTGATACGTTCGCCGCTGAACATGGCCGCACGCATGTCTTCCACACTACGAGAGCGAGCCTGCAATAAAATGCCAATATAACGACGCCGGAGAGTGCGTTCATACTTTGCGTCGGCGTCTTTGAGCGTATAACAGCGTTTTTAGCCTTTTTGTGTGTACAGCATCTTTAATGACAAGTAAGTATGGATATTGATTTCGCGTTTCGATCTTACGTTAGCGTTTCGAGCGTTTTAGCTGGCAGTTCTGAGCTAATGGCGGGCAGGTCTGGAAACGCAAAGTATGAACGTGGCTTGAGATGTTCTCAGAACCCCAGATCGATACGCTAGCGTGTTGAAAAAGTGAACGCACTCTGACTAGTACTGAGTTTGAAGTTAGCTCTGCAGGAGGGTTATATGCTTAGCCTGGAAAATACGAAGTGCTACCCACCACGTCCATCAACTTGTCGAAAGAAATGTCAGAAATCCGATGTTTGGAGAAGTCAAACAGCACAGTACCATCAGGAGTGTCAATAAAACGACTAAAATACAAACATATTTGCCTTGTCAATACAAATGTTTTTCTTGGACATACGTGTATTTATTGAAACGTTCGGGGTCGCTCAGCAATTGTTGATAAATGCTTAGTTGATCCTTTTCGTGACATTCGACATATGTTTTTAGGTCTTGGAATTTGGGATCTCTGCACAGCGACATTCCTGAAAAAAAAACCTATTGCATTGTATGTTCGCGATGGCTACCACATTACAGCAAACGAAATAATTCGGAAGACAGAGAAAAATGAGCTAAAAATAGGGGCACTCGGCAGCGCCTCCGGATCCCTTCCCTAATCAAAGCTTATGATCGGAGCCCTCACGACCAGGATCGCCAAGTCATGGCTTAAGAGCGCGTCCAAACTTCGCGATGCAATAGTTCTAATCGTGCGATCCGATCGCTCGAGCGTTTGGATTGCGATCAATCAAAACTGTTGAATCGCGAAGTCTGAACGCGGACTTACAGAGAAGACATAGTCCCAACTAAGACTAAACTGCGTCCATACTTCGCGACAAGGCGCTTCGGGAGGATCAACGTTTTAAGCGAAAAGGATACTACGCATCGATCGGCGCACAGACCTCTCACAGCTCTCACCAAGTCAGACGTGCAAGATCGCGAAGTCTGAACGCGGTCTTACAGAGAAGACATAGTCCCAACTAAGACTAAACTGCGTCCATAAGTCCCAACTAAGACTAAACTGCGTCCATACTTCGCGACAAGGCGCTTCGGGAGGATCA